ATATATACACATATATATAAAGTGTTTTACTTGTTTACTTTTACTTAAGCAACATTTTCAGTGCAGGACTTTAACGTGTAATAGAGCATTGGGTCTCAAACCGGGGGGCAGGCCCGAGTTATAAAAGGGGTAGGGGTGGGAGAGCACTGCAAGGGCAAGGCTACAGTAAATATAAATAATGCATGGTTCTGCACTGCAAGCAAAGCATTGAGAAGTTTGTGCAAGGACTGCCAAAGAAACGTGAAGCAGACAATGAATCTAAACCAAACATCACAAACAGAGACAAGAAAATATGATGAGACATATCTCACCCTCGGCTTCACCACTCCACTGGTTAGTAATGAAGAGAGAAAACAGTGTGTTGTGTTTCTCAAATTATTAGCTTCTTACAGTATCAATCTGAACAAGTTAGGTTGCTACTTAGAGACTTCACATCCCAAACACAAAGCCTGCTCCAGAAATATATACTCAACTGTTGAGCACAACAGAGTCACTTTATTAAAAAAGCATCTGTGCCTTAAAATGCTCCACTCTACTTTAGACCGGGGTAGGTTGGGAGGGGGTGTGCGCCAATATTTTTATCTCCAGAAAACGTTTAGGAACCATTGCTAAACATAGGATGTGAATACTTCCTGCACCACTTCCTCCTGGACTTAACTGGAGTTTCTCATACACGCACACAGAAGTTTCAATTCCACAATCTCACAGCTGGATACCACTAAATCCCACGCTAGACTTTTAATCCCATCATAAATAATAAGTGGCTAACAAATTAACGTAGTAACTTTTATGAAATAATAACTGTTTGTCATATTTGCTGAATCATGTTGCTTTGGCTCCTCCTAGTGCTCCTGATGGCATTTGCAAGAATCCACCACACCTGAATGAAAACAACCAATAAGAGCCAACATAAATGCCAACATTTTTTCTGGTAAATGGACTGTTCATGAGTCCATTCGCATGGTGTCAAAGTGGCTGGGAACTTGTTGACTGTTATCTTCCAAAGCTCCCTCAACATCAAGTAGGGTGTTTGAATCTAATGATTGGAGGGGATATGCAGAATGTAATGATATAACGAGTCAATGCTGCGTAACAGTCAGACATAAGCTGTGTCTCAATTCAGGGGCTGCAGCCTTTGAAGCCTGAAGCCTTCATGGTCGAAGTTTGCCACGTCCCTTGAAGACCCCATCAGCCACATTGAACAGCTTCCAAAATGGGACAGTCCGGTCTGCAGAGGATTTCCTGGTTGCATCACCAACTGTTCTTGCCCCAACCGGTCAGCGTTACTATTACCTAG